ATATATATATATATATATATATATATATATATATATATGCAGTATTTGTAGGATGGTTTTTCTATAGAAAATACATGCAACAGGATGAGAAATGTGCTGTCTGGTTTAAGAAACTGGAAATGAAGTCAAAACACTGGGTTTTTTTTAGGAATTAGAAACTATAACAAGGGGGGGGGGAATTAGTTTTAGCATTCTGACAGCATTATTGGTATAAACACCTTTTTCTTCCCTTTGAGCAGAATTCCAAATTGGAGGCCATTCTATATTTGTTTCAGTCTTTACAAATTTGGGGATAACAGTTCGGGAAAATCTTCATCTATGTAGCATATGAACTCCAGTTCTTTATATATCATATAATCAGTGTCTGTCATGGAGAAAGCATTGCAATCTTTCTGGAGAAAGAAGAAATTTAAAACAGACCATAGAGTGTTTATAGTGACCCTGTGAAAATCATTGCTATGAGGTTTAGCAATGACCCCATAAGCTTGGATTAGTTTAGATGGGGATTGGGTAATTGAGGACAATTATATCAAGATATAATAGGTTGAGATTAAAGGTTGCTTCTGGGATTGCAGAGATGACCTTGAAGAAGATATCCAAGTGGCAGTCATCAAAACACAAAGAAGAGGGCAGGTCAACATATTTTCCAAAGGCAGGACAAGAAGGCAGGACAAGAAGCACTGGATGGAAACTCATCAAAGAGAGATACAATCTAGACCTAAGGAGAAATTTCCTGACAGTGAGAACAATTAACCAGTGGAATAGGTTGCCTTCAGAAGTTGTAGGTGCTCCACCACTGGAGCCTTTTAAGAAGAGACTGAACAACTATTTATCTGAAATAGTTTTAGGGTCTGTTACTCTGTTATGTAAGCCCAGGACAGGAAGAGAACATTAGAAAGAAACCTTCACTCTCAAATGAAATATTTGATTACCCAGCATATGTTATATGTCTCATGGAATTGAAGATGCTGAAACTAACTTAAAACCATCCAAGGGGGTTCATTTTTTTCAGGAGTAGGCCTCTATCAAAATTGGTATAGAATTATTGAGCAATGAAGCTGTTAATCTTTTCCCTCATCTTGACAATGTAAATGGTCCTTTAGATGATAGATCTGAATGATCCATGAGATGGATAGTAAATAAATTTGATGATAAATAAAAAAAAATAGTCACGGCAAGCAATTTTCCCCCTTTGTCTTGCATTCCTCTCTGATTTGTTGTTCTCTTTAATGTTCCGTTCAGATTCGTTCAGACAAAGACAGTGAAACCAATGTAAGATACAGCATCACAGGGGTGGGAGCTGACCAACCACCAATGGAAGTCTTCAACATTGACCCCGTGTCAGGGAGAATGTATGTGACCCGTCCAATGGATAGAGAAGAAAGAGCATCCTATCATGTAAGTTTATCATATCTTGTCTATTTTCCCCTTCCTTCCTCCCTTCCTCCCTTCCTCCTGCCATCCCTCCCTGTTCTCCCTTCCTTCCCTCCTTCCTCCATCTCTTCTGACCAAGACTATGGAGACACTAACAAACATACATTAGTCCCCAAACCCGTTTTTCTTTATTTCAACAACTGTGAATTGTAGTCATTCACAGCCTGTAATGAGTCTGAAACAGTTTGTGAATAATCCCATGGAAGTCTGCCAAAGTCCTTCAGGATAAGTCTGATAAGCACACACCTTTATCTTCCTTGAAATGCTGCCAACGACTAAATGTCCAATTAGTTATATGAGGCCAAAACGGAACACAAATTCAACACTGAGCTTCAGGTTTCAAGCGACCAGTACGAACAAAGTTGCTTCCTGCAAAGATTCCTGTCCCTTTGCTCTTCCTTTATGTCTTATGGGAAGGCCAATCACCTCCAAGCCTTACTCCCAAGTTGGCCCTTTTGTCTTAACTGTTCTTGCCTTTTGGCAGCCCTGCGCATACGTGCACTGGGAACAGGGTCCCCTTGTTCCTCTGCCTCGCTGCTACCAGATTCTGGAGGCTCCGGAGTCAGCACATAACTCCCAGATGACCCTGGCTCCATCTCTGTATCAGGCACAGGACCCTCGTCTGAGTCCTCCCCAGACTGACCCATGTTCCTCCCCACTGTCCGATTCTGCTGTTGTCTCTGCAGGCTGCTAACGAACCACAACACCCTCCTTCCTTGCTCTTCCTTCCTTCCCTTCCTTCCTTCTCTGGCAATTTCAAACATATCTCAGTCATAGGTAAAGATAGAATGTAAAGTTCTGAAGATCTAAAAATTCTCTAATGAGAAATTCTATGTATGCAATATACACATACATACAACCACATACATACATACATACATATATACATACATACATGCATACATACATACATACATACATACATGCATACATACTGTATATGCACACACTTCTATGTTGACTGAATAATGATAAAAGTCCCTGTATAAATAGACAAAATTGTGTATATGTGTTTGTATATGAATGGTAGTAAATTTATTGTACTGCTATTATTGGCTTTTGGAGAACTTTATTTTTATGTATGTTTTGCTTGTTGTCTTATAATTATTTAAAAAGTGTACTGATAATTATAAATTATTACCCTATAAAATATTCAAGATAGGATTACCAAATCAGGTAAATTTTGGTTGTAAGAATTTTTGCTACAACTCCAAATTTGGCTCTTTTAGATTACATTTGCTTACATATATTATACAGTATTTCTATTCTTATTTTCTTCTTAGCTCTGTCTACCAGCTGTGAGTTTGCCAGCTATTTGCTATGTTTGTGTGACATGAGGATCACTGTTTCATTCAATTGATTGTATTAATTTGCATAACACACTGAATTATACAGCAACCAAACTGTCTGAGTTTGTAAATCTATGTAACTGAAATGCAGTTGTCTGGTTAGTTTTTTATGTGAACTGCCTTACCAATATCTTCCCAGGGTTTAAAACTTTTTTCCCCTCTTGCCATTGTCCTGCAAAGTTAGAAGTTCTGGAGACATTATGAGGATTAACAGATTGAGAAACAGTTTCTTTTCCAAGGCAGTAATTGTCTTAAATCAAACAGTGCATTTGTGATTTATTATTATTATTATTATTATTATTATTATTATTATTATTATTATTTTAATTTTTAAAACTCTGTAGTGTGATTGTGATGTGGTGTTTGGGGCAATCTGCTGGAGTAGCTTTCAAATTTCATTGTATTCTTGGAATGCAATGACAATAAAGGTATTCAAATTATGGACACATTGTCCCAAAGGTGCTTTTTTGTTTTCAAGAGGCAACTGGACTTTCTGGTTTTTCTTTGAAGACATTTCGCTTCTCATTCAAGAAGTTTCTTTAGCTCTGACTGGATGAAGCTTCTTGGATGAGAAGCGAAATGTCTTCAAAGAAAAACCAGAAAATCTACCATGGTTGCCTTTTGAAAAAGCATTTTGGGGCAACCATGACCTGAATGACTTAGAATCTCCATAGACACCACAGTCCATGGTTCTGCAGTTGAAATATTGAAGTTGTGTGGATTACTGTAATTGCTATCCATGATCCTGTTTGTATAAGGCCAGAGTTCATCCAATTCACACCATATTCAGTCAGATATGTGGTTTCTGTGAAGGTGTCAGAACATAAACACAACTTCCCATAGACACATCTAGGGAGTAGTATAGTTCGTACGGATATCATACGTATAGCTTCTTGGATCAAAATCAGAGAAGGAAGCCCAAGAAGCATTCCTGTCCAATTAAGACGATCTGAGAGTGATTCAGATAAGCCCAGCTGATCAAAGGGAGGAAGAATTTGAATTTGAATGCTTCCAAATCCATGAAAGCCAACATATATCTGTGTTGATAGACAGAGATAGAACCTCTGAATCCAAGTAAAGGGAAGTGAGGGAAAAACAGATTTCCTGAACTATCCAAATTAAGACAAGCGGCAATAAAGGCAGAACAGAGAAGGGCCAAAGGTAAATATATCAAAAGTGCCAACGATGAATATATCATATATCTCACTCAATTACTAGAATCAACCACCATTGTTCTTGCCTATATCATTCTCCCATTTCCCTTGGCTTCCAGAATCTCAGATTTCTCTTTAGCATGTCTTCCTGATTTCTGAATTGGCTTCTAGTTATACCTGGATTGTTTGTAAGAATTCAGGCTTTAGCATCTGGCTATTTGTATTTGTGTGTGCAGGTTTTGCTTGCTGGCTGCAAACTTTGGTAGACATTCAGCTCTAGTCTGAATAACTCATTGTAATTCATACTGTCTCTTCAGGATTTCAGATCAGAGTCATTCTGTGAATCTGGAGGTGATTGATTTTTGTACTTCCTGCATGCAGAGGAAATGTATTCTTTCATTAAGGCCCTGCTTTTCCACAAGTAAACCAATTGTTTCTCATACATTGGTGGAAAGCTTTGTCTTCTTATGTAAAGTGAATTTCTCCTTGTGCCTAGGAAATCCATACAGCTTTTAGTCTTCTGCACTGACTTTGGGTGCATAACTGTGAGACCTCTAAGCCATCTGGATTTCCAAATATGTTACAAATTGCCCATAAAATGATACAGGTTATTTCAATCGACACTATCTTCTTAAAGAGTTCTACAACACGTATTATTTTCAGCCAGGTGTGTTTGGTATGGTACGCTTTAACTATGTTGACACCAACTATGGACAAAGGTGGAGAGGTCAGGAAAGTAATATTAACTCCTTAGCTGCACGGTGGAAGAAATTTCTTTAAGGCTATAGGGGCATCTGTGGAAAAATTATTTCATATTCCTTGAACAAAAGCAATTATTTTCTCCAGTGACCCCAGCAAAATCAGAAGCAAAAGGCTATCCTTAAAAAAAAGACAGGAAAGTTTGAGGTGCAGGTTTTGTGCTGCTTCAGAATGGTCAATTATATTTCACTGAAGGAAGGCCATTATAACTTGGACACTAATTTAGGTAGAATATCTCAAAAGGATGCCTTTGATGGACTCATTAGGATTCTAGCATGAGAAACTCTCAGTCAGGAAGAAGTAACTTTGCTGGTCATAATGATGGCTTTCTCTGACCTTGGGACTATTTAATAACAAATGTTCATTATTAACTATTCTGGTTAAGGCAATGGCTTTTGAGAGATGCTTAGAAATGGCCATTCGATTCTTTTTATGACCCATGTAGGTGAAGAAAAAGGACAGGCTGACTTTCTAAGTTCAAAAACAACTTCTTTTCACTACTGATTAGAGATTTCAGTATTCTGCACAGAATACTCAAGCATGCACACAGACACACACACACACACACACACACACACACACAGAGTTTAATTGAGAAAATGTCAATTAAACAACCCAAAATGAGGTTGAGATGCGTTGTTGGACAGAGTACGGTGTATCCTGTGATATGCTCTTGTGCACACTTTTTAGGGCTGATTAAAAGTGCAATGGATTTATTTTGTTGTCTTTTAATGACCCCGTAATCCCTTGCATCGGGGTGGAATCAGGGCAACTGAATGGAGCTGAGTGTTTACTGGCCAGATACCCTTCCTGTCACCAATGCGGAGTTCACAGCAGATATATTCTCATTGTGCCCAGAGAGAAAAATATGTGCCTCTACCTAGGATTGAACTCACAGCCTCCTGATTGTGAGGCAAGAGATCCATCTCTAGGCCAGTACATCACTCATTAAAAGTGCAATGAATTAGTGCAGCAAAACATCCATATATTTTCCAATGTATTCCCTCTACAGGTAGTCCTCAACCATACAACTATTTGTTTAATGACCATTTAAAGTTACAATGGTACTGAAGAAAGTTGACTTACCATCATTTTTTACACTTAAGACCATTGTAGCATTCCCATGATCACATGCTCAAAATTTGGATACTTGGCAACTGGCAGGTATTTATGATGGCTGCAGGCTCCCGGGGTCATGTGGTCACCTTTTGCAACCTTCTGACAAGCAAGGTCAAAGGGGAAGCCATATTCACTTAACAACCGATGTTACTAATGTAACAACTGTAGTGATTCAAGGAAGATCATAAAATGGAGCAAAACTCACTTAACAATTGTCTTGCATGGCAACAGAAACATTGGACTCAATTTTGGTCATAAGTTAAGGACTACCTGTACAAACTTGCTTCTCAAGGATCTCCCACTCATTAAGTTGGCAGCAAACCCAGACCTCCTTTCTAGTATATATGAAATGACCTTTCACTGTAATGTCTGGAAGTGGAGACATCTTCTCATGTTTTGTAGACATAAAGCTAAATAGCATTAGCACTTAGCAATAACACTTAGACTTATATACCACTTCACAGTGCTTTACTGCCCTCTCTAAGCAGTTTAGAGTCAGCCTATCGCCCCCAACAATCTGGGTCCTCATTTTACTGACCTTGGAAGGATGGAGGGCTGACCTTGAGCCCGTCAAGTTGAACTC